AATACCCTTTCCTGACTGCATCTAATAAGTGAGTTTATCCATCAATTATCAAGGACCTATTGTGACACCTTTGCTGGGCACTAGAAGCACATCAAAGGTAGACATGTGAGTAGCTTGTAAGGAGCACATGGATTTATTGTTAAACTATTTTTAAAACTCTCATGCAAATTTGTTGGTAGCCTATGGTTTCCCAGCCGTTCTCCGCCCTATACTTTGTTACATCAGAAGTTTACTATAATCTACATACTTAAAGCATAATCTACATACTTAAAGCAGCCCCCCATGAGTGTTCAATGAATAAATAAGCCAGACTGTTGAAGCAGGATAATATTATGGGAGAAATGTCAAGCGAACAATATTGCCCTTGTCTTTGTTAATTCAGAGGCAGTTTATGATATATGATATTTCTTGCTCTGTTTTTCATTACTTTCACTCAGGTAATTTCCTGGATGTGATTTATTTCCCCAGGGAAGATACACACATACCTGTTTTCATGCCCTTCTGGTCTTTCTCAGGCCCAATATTTCATGGTCATCTTTACCTCCTTAAACCAGTTGAATCTATTCATACATTTCCTTTAGAATGGCCACCAAAGAGAAATGTTATCTGTGTACTTTATCACACTAATTGAATCAGGGTTTTCTATTTTCATCATTATTCTACCTAATAAGAAAAGAAGTTGTTGTGTACATATACATAGGCCTCAAGATGGTGTAAAACTCCATGTACTGTAACATGTACTAATAAAAGGAGAGTGCTTTTAATTTACAATATACAGTATTTCACTTATGTCAGAATCTGTGACGTCACATTTTTCTAAGTAATTTTTTTTTTTTTTTGGTACCAGGGATCGAACTTGGGTCTTTGCACTTGCATAGCAGGCGGCGAAACCACTGAGCTAAATCCCTGGCCCCTTTTCTAAGTAATTTTGAGTTTTAAATAACTTTCAGATTATGGGTTAATGTTTGTCTAATTCAAATACACCTTTAGACTATCTTACTCAAAACCAAATGCTACCAAGTTATATACAAGGTAGCTACCAAATTTTCTTAAAGAAATAATTATTTCAGAATCAAACATTGAAGTAATTACTTTATTCCAGTAGAAAGAGAATTAGAGGAAGAATGTAAACTCATGCATCTCTTAATGGGGATACACTGTTAGATGATTTCATCATGTGAACATCAGAGAGTGAATTTAGACAAACCGAGATGGTATAGCTTGCTACACAGTGAGGCTACATACTGGGGTGTAGCCCATTGTCACCAGGTTACAAATCTGTGCAGCATATTACTGTACTGAGTGCTGTGGGCAATTATAACACAATGGCAAGTATTTATGTACCTAAATATACATGCACATATAAAAAGTATAGTGAAAATTAGACAATAGGAATTTTCAGGTCAATCATAATTTTATGTGGTCATCATCATACACAAGGGCTTGCCATTGACACAAATGTGGATATGAGGCAAAGGACTGTATATGATGCTTTTAAGGGAAAAGTATCATTACTGAATATCAAATATGGGTAAATTATTATATGAAATAGAATTGCTAATCAGACTAAAGGTATTTTAGAGCAGATTTTAAATTCATGGAGAAATGTTTTAATATGCATAATATTGTAATGTAAATTCCTAATCATCGTCAGATGTGGTGGTGGACAACAGGTTGAGGCCAGCCTGGGCCACATAGCAAGACCCTGCCTCCAAAAACAAAAGCAAACAAACAAACAAAAATTTCTAATTATAATTATTAAGTGAAAGAGTAAACATGGAGATTTCAAGATATAAGGATTAAAAATAGCAACAAAAAACTTACACTGTGCTCATATTTGTACAAAACTATTTAATATTTATGAATTTAAAAATAAAAGTTAATGTAGAAGTATAATTCATTGTAATATTGTATGCATATAAAATGTTAAATTGACTCTTTGGTTCATTATTTCAACTCATCTTTTTTAAGTATTGTGGAATGAAACTGAATATTATAATTTTTAAACAACATCACAGATAATTCTCAAATGTAGTTACCATAAAACAATGATTCTATTTTATATCCCGTAGCTATAGGCACATTAAGAACCAACAGATATTCACAAAATACCAATATCTGTGGAATAATATTTGACTAAGGATAGGTTTTAAGTACAGTTACAGTTGAATGCATCCAGAATTCAAACTTTTTCATTTTAATCTTTATCTAAATTGTACTAGATATCACCATAGTTAAATAAGATACTTGCTTCTATCACTGTTGACCCATAACATGTACCCACACCTCAGTATACTATGTCAGCACTGTGGCTAATCCTACTCAATATAATAAGGAGACATTAAGTGTTTCACAATGCCCTGAAACCATCCGCAACAACTATTTTTCTTTAATGTACTATGTAGAGGCAAAGACTGGATCACCAACTTTTAATATCAAAGAACACCTAAGTTACATTATCCTTCCATCAATATTAATGTGGAGTGAAAGAGAAATATATTGCTTGAAATTACTGCATCCACAAACAAGGGAAGTGCCCGTTTAAAACTGAAACACTTTAATATTTTGGAAGTACTATGTGTTTGCTCAGTCTTAACTCTGGGGAGTTTCTAAGCCCAGAAACTTTGGAAAGTTATTATGTATATATTCTGACACATAGATATTTCTGTAAGAAAAGAAAATAGAAAGAAAACAACCAAAGAAAAAAATGCAGAGGAAAATAAAGCTGTAGTACAAAAGCCTAAATTAGCTATCAGGGGTGGATAAAATAAAGCATCCTGTACTCCCCTATTCCACTAAGATGAAGAGCTCACCAACTATTTAAAAAGATGTTCCTATAATCTGTTTCCAGAAACTATGAAAGTTGCTGTACAAAATAGCAACAGACTTTTGCTTATAGCTAAACATAATCAAACTTTGTATTTCAGAGTTGCCTAAGGACAATTAATTCATTATCATCTTAGCACCAGAAGATTTCCAATCCAATGCTAACAAAAAATGGGAAATACTGGTCCATCTAATTTGGTTAACTCTTAAGTTCTGGACTCTGGAACATTTCCAAAGAGCTGTGGTCCAGAATTACTGAAATGAATTTTGCCAAGAGCAAAATGAGTAATCTCTTCCACCTGTGGAACCTCAATTCTAATACTTTTTAATGATTTGATAAGGTTGTTTTTAAAGTTATTTAAAAGTAGAGGTTCCAGTATTTGCCTTCCAGGTATCTTTTGAAAAAGTTAAAAACACCATACTACAGAGGTAGATGCAAACTCATGTTTATAGCACCACAATTTATGACAGCTAACTCTTGGAAACAGCTCATATGCTCATCAACAGATGAATGGATAAAGAAAATGTGGAATTTATATACAATGTGGAATTTATGTACTTTGAGATAGCAAAGAATGAGTCATTTGTAATTAAATGGATGCACCTTGAGATCATAATCTCAAGTGAAATAAATCAGAGACACAAGTTTAAATATCATATTGTTTCTTTCATAAGCGTAAATAAGGAGGAAAATGAAGAATAGATATTGAAGATCATGTTCAAATGGGAAGGGGAGTAAGGGAGGGGGAAGGAAAGGAAGAGAAAAAGGGATTTAAAAAAATAAGAATGGAAAAAACAAGTTATTTTAAATATTTTAATGTGAACATAATTGGCTACCTTTCCTGTTCTACGACAATCCACTCTCAAAAAGTTTAGTTTTATGCTCTTTATTAGGGAGGGTGAAAATTTTCAAATTGATTATATTGCTTTTTCCAGAACAATAAAATCCTATGTTGCTGGATTTCCAGAGTGCTTTGAACCTTACTTTTGTGAATGATGTAAAACTGAGTATATATTCTGGATATGTATTTATAAAATGCTACTTCTGTGTGGTTACTGTCATATTTCTACAGTCTGTAATTTCTGTAATCTCTGGAAAGAAAGAGCAAAAGAGAGACAATCACTTTGAGAGCAGGTTCTTTAAGCACAGTAGAGGAGAAGGTAACAATTTATGGTGTGGTATACTATTAAAAATGCAGGCTCAAACCCCAGTTCTGCTAATTCATTGCTATGTGACTCTTGAACAGTTAGGTTATTTTTTTGAGGTTCATTTTGTCTTCTGTAAAAGGTGCTATTAACTTCACAGGGTTATTATAAACATTTAATGAGATAAAGCTGTTAACTTTGAGATTTATTCCCCCTTAACTTCCTCACTGAGTAGCTTTTCCTAGCTCAAAAGTTGCCACTCACTTCCAGTTCCCTTTCCCTGGCTCTGAGTTTTTACGGGCCAACCAGAAGGGCATCAAAAGGGCTGCCCAGCAATTACAACTGGCTTGTTAATTATATCCAGAACCTAATCTCAGTTTACTCAATTTACTCTCCCAACCTCCTCTCCTGTGATTGATTTAAGCCTGGAGTGCCCTTGCTCTCTGGTGGAATTCAACTAAAGTTTTTCTGGTTGCTTGCTCTGGAGTCAGGAAATCAAGTGTAAATGCCTTTTAATCCTAGCAGTCTGGGCAGGGCAGGACCTGACCAGTTGGGAGGTATTCTGACAGAAGTTTCCATCTAGAGCCATAACTTATTAGTTAGGCACTTGGTACATTATCTAAGTCTCAATGTTTCAATTATCACCTCAATCATCTATAAATCATGAGGATAGTGTTACCCACAGTTTCTACCTCATGACATGGTCTATAGTTAAGTGCTCAATAAATTTTAAGCTTCTTTTTCTCTACTATCATATTTTCTTCTCCCATGCTTCTTTCCATGGTGTTTAATACTACAGAAAGTCATTTTAATGATACAGGTATTGTAATGCCATTATTTTAATGACATAGCTATTAATATTTGACTGCATCTTGTAATTTTACAACCATATACTGCCCTTGTGGCAAGACAGAGATGTTAAATAATGTATTTAAAGCATTATAAAAGCACTTCACACTTCTCACATGATCCATTGCTTCTTGAATTCTGTACTTTGTGCATGAATCAAAGCCAAGTTAAAGTCTCTGTAATGTATATAGAAAATTTTTTATTTCATTACTCTAAATTAGGCAAAAGGTCTTTTATACTTTGAATGTCATCATCAAATTAAGATATAGAAAGACTGAAAAACAACCAGGTTTTGTAGGCATGGAAACATGGGGCCTCTTCTCATTTTTATCATGGTACCCCTATGAAAACATGATGCTTTCATACAATATTTTGCTCAAACTGAAAAAGAGCAAAGCATTTTGCAAACAAAACATCACAGCATTTGATGTTAATTTACAATAAAAATTTAGACAGAAGCTTACATCTCTGAAGGTTTCAATATATTAGGAAAAAAAAGGATAGAAATAACCCACAATGTTCCAAATTCCTGCTTTCTATAAATTTGAAGTAGGAAATGACTACAAAAGATGGGCAGCTTGGGGGGAGTGGGGTTCAGAGTCCCTGGGTCCAGATTGGAAAGCATCATGCCTGAGAAGATTTTCAAAGGGTTCAAAAAGAGTTCTATGCATGTGATTTGTATCACATGAAGATGATACTTTGCAAAAAGTTCAGGCAAAGTAAAAAATGTGCTGAGCTACATAGTTTAAATAATGCTCTTTTTGCCCAAACAGTTATACAATGCTGCATAGAAAAAATTAATAAAATATAACAAGCTATCTTGTAGAATTTTAAATGAGTTAAAAATTTTAAAACCTTTGTCTCATTTTCTATTTTTGAAGATAATGAAAACACCACAAAGGCGTATTATAAAGCATCACTTTAGTAATATGATACTTTTTTTTAAGAGAAAAGACTTTGGAATGAATGGTTAAAATTCATATACCATATCTTCACTAAAGTTTCTAAACACTTTAGTCTCAGTAAATTTAATCACATCTATTTTTTACTATTACTGTTTAAAAAAGTGTTTACAAAAGTAATTAAGCATAACTAATTTTGTCACAAAAAACAATAACTTTACTGTACACTACTGCACTGTAGAACATATACATCATACCACAATTCTGTACCTAAGAAATCTATTGGCATGGTACAAAAATTGTCTGCAGCATCCCTTGGGCAAATATTAATACCCACATTCAATTTACATTTTCATAGCTATTTGAGATTATACCATTTTATTTGTTTTTGTGTATGAAATTCCCAAACTTTTGCATAAATCCTCGAAACTTGTTTTCATTGGGTTGATATGTTTGATAAACACCAGCATTATAATTAAGCATTGGGCTGCACCTGCCATAACTGTTGCTCATAGATGAGGATTTCCTTTCTGGGTGGTTTACGCTGGTATTTGGAATGTGGCTTGTTGGCTGAGTAGAGCTCTCAATCTTACAAAATGGCTCAAAACGACTGTAAACACGCTGGTTTGTTGAATGAGATCTTAGCAGCTCACTAGGCTTTGGCTTTGGAGGAGAGGCTGGTCTTCTTTCAAGAGCAATGACTCTATGAGTCTCCTTTGAATCTCGGTATTGAATCTGCTCAGTGTTAAATCTTGGGGTGGAGGCGTCTCCTCCCTTCTCGAAGAACTTTCTTTCAGCTGGCCTTGGAGAAGGAATTATTTTATTATTTTCCTCTGATGAAGAATTGGCACCCTGAGATGGGCTAACTGTTGTTATATCTTCCTTACTCTTGTGGAGACTACCTTGGGAGTTTGATGAAGAAGAACGCTTTCTTCTAGGAGACGAATCGACTTTGGTTTCTGACTTCTTTGGTTTTTGATTCTCTTCCCCCTCAGAAACTAATGTGTCAGAGCTACTACAAATTCTATAGAATGCAGATGATTTATTTTTGGGTAGATTTTCTTTCTTTTCTGGAGTAAGGCTAAGGAAGGATCTTAACTTCTGAGATCCCTTTTTCAAAAAACTTGGAGACCCCTTCGCATCTCTTTTTGAAGTGAGTTCTTTGTTGGGTTCCTCTTTATTCACATCAAGTAAGGCAGCAATGGAAATGGACTTGGTGGCAGTGCCACCTGGAGGGACCCTCTGGATCATATTCTCCTCCTCCTCCTCTATGTTTTGGGTCACATTGTGCATACTTTTAGAACTTTTCAGCAAATCCTCTTTGGGTTTTTCTGGTTGTCTAACTTGATTCCTTGTAAGTGTACTATATACATAATTCTTACTATTCCCATGATCTAAGTTGGATTTTGAGTGGTCAAAGGATGGAAAACTTCGTCTTTTAAGCAGATTCTCATGTTGATTCTTGAGCTTTTCTGTCTGCTTATTTATACCCAACACTGCATGCGAATAGTTGCTTGCTTCTGTATGGCTCCTTGCAGTTTGGTGTAAAACTGCTGACTGGTGTTCGGGAACCTGCAAGGTGTGTGTTTTTGGTGTCTCTGACTGTATCATAATCTTGGGGCTTGATTCGGGCAGAGGTTTTTGTGTCAAATGCTGTGCATCTGTAGGGGTATTTGGGACCTTTTTAGATGTGTCACTTCCCTGGGAACCAGTGATAGTTGAATTTGAGGAGTCAGTTGTACAACTGTTGACTTCTTGCTGCTCAGGTAAAGTTGGTTTAAATACAAAAGAGGAACGAAGGCGAGAATGTGTATACAGGGCACTGGCTTTCAGATTCTCAGGACTCTCATAGCCTTCAAATCGATCCCCTAAGGCTGAACCGTTCGAATCCAGTGCAGCTTCTGAGTTATCGTTTAAGTAGGACTCAATCCTCCAGTTGCGTAGGAATGACTTTGTAGTGTGCTCAAGGGTTGGCATTCGTTGCTGCAAAAAGCGAATGTGATTGTCTGTCCCATTAAAAGACCTGCGCACGTTTGAATTCCTTTCGGGGAGATTTGTTGTTTTTCTCTGGGCAAGCTGGTCAGCAAAACTCTGGGCAGGTGTGCTGAGAAGCCCTGTGTAGCCCCCTCGTGATGAGGACGTCACACTGACACTATCTGAAGGCCTTTTCCAACTACCAGGAGGGTTGTTGGTTCGATTCAGAGCCCTGTTAAGCAGCAGGTATGGTACTGTTTCTGGCTGTTCCCCAGCATAACTATGCCTTTTCCAGTTTTCATTTTTCTGACTGGGTTGAAACTGACGCACTGTATTTGGACCATTAAAGTTCGGAACAAAATGAGGTTTGTATCCATGATTTCTTATGCTGTATTTGTCATGCTCGTTGAGGGGATATATCCCTCTGCCTTTGAAGTAACTAGAATCTAGGATATGAATTTTGTCTTGTCTACTAAAAAGGTTTCTTTGGCTGGAAATGGAAGCTAAGGAGGAAACTGAGCGCTGGTATGTGCCATTCTCCCACAGTGCTTTGCCTTGCTTTGCCCTTGCCAACTCTTCCTGAGCAAATGGACTGGGGACACAGGACCTGGCATAGAGAGTTCTAAATTCTTCATCGAAGGACTCAACAAGTTGGCCTGTGATTATTTGAACCATGCTGAGGTGAGCTTTCTCAAATGACCACATATAGCTGAAAGAAAAGAAAGGAAATTTTAATTGTGCTAAGTTAAAAGACTAATGATAATCAATGGTCCCACTAAAAATGGATCATTTAATAGTGACAAAACTGTGTTTGTCCTAGCTATATTGATTTTCAATATTTTTAATGATCACATGAACATAATGCATATCTGCATATGCATAATGAATAGCTGCATATTCATGTACAGCAGACTCTTGAGTTACAATTGGCCTGATATGCAAACAACTTGGGTTAGGACTGGAATTTTAATCTTAACTTAGGAACAAAGTCTTGAGTTATGACCAGAATGTTGGCTGCTAGTGCTTCCATGTAGTCTCAGGTATGGATTTAAAGAGCTCTGGAAAGAACATTACAACATCCTTTCCTGCGTAGGGTTGAGAAATCCTGGGCCAATGTCTCTCTAAGGACACTGAGATCTGCCTGTGTACTGGAGAAAGACTTTGAAGGCTATGTAGAGGAGCCTGAGCCTTCAGCTGACCAACCTGAGTTACAATCAGTCCTCGGGAATGAATTCAGTTCATAAGTCAAGGATCCACTCTATTAGGTAACAAAGCAATTCAAGTTCTGGCTTTCTGTCTGCTCGGTTTCTTACACTACTTGTCAGAAGCCTGAAGAAATGCTTGCTGTGCATTTTACATTTGCATCTGCCACAAATTTATGGAGTAACAAATTAATGATACTATATTTCACATATATGATCCTGAAATTGTGCAGAAAAGTCAATATTTGAGGAAGAGTTCAGAGTCTGGCTTCTGTAGAGCTGTAGCCACATAAATGTGGACCTTTCTTTCCTTGTATCCAAAATAAAGACATGGATAGCATAATAGCTACAATCGCTGAGAGTTCTGACATATGGTAATGCAAGGCAGGTCTGTGGGGATAGATGTATTTTAAGAGTTTCAGTGCATTCAGACTGTTATTTGTAAGGTTTACACAGTAAGTATAGCTTAGATTGCAGGGAGCTGTAAGTAGAATTCATGGGCAGCTGCCTCAATAAATAATGGGCAGACTTTACTGTACTCAGGAGACACAGGGCTGCTAACTGTAGTCTTCATAAACCCACTCAAAATGCCAATCAGGATCTTTCAACAAAATATAATTTCTGGGAAATTAAAGTTTGTAATGAGATCACAATACTTTATGGAATTTTTATTTCTTTTCCTAAAGTTTAGAGGTGACTTTGAAACTCCATATATAATTTTAAATATGATATTGAAAAGCCTAAATTATAGAATATAAAGAGACACTGAGCCAGAAAAATTAAATTTCAAAGATGGTGTTCGTCAAGATATATGACACAAAATATAAGAAAAATGAGAGAGATACTCTACATCCAAGGATCTTACTGTTCATATTGGGGAAACAACACAGACAAAAGTAAATATTTTTTAAATGTACAGAGAAATCATTTCAAATACATACAATGTCATGAACTGCAATGTACAACTTAAGAATCTTGTTATTCTGATAATGTTCAAATGTCTGTTATGCTTTTTGAATGCCTGGTATGAGAAGATCTTCACTAGAGCTCTTTATGTGACCCACTGAAACAGCTTGAAGGAAATGGCACAAGCATGACTACGTAATTTTCAACCCAGCCGAAGATATAAACACAAAATCTTAGAACATCAAATAATTGAATAACTATTTAGTTTTCAAGTATGTGGAAATCCTGAGAGAAACAAGGAGCTTAGCAAAATTGGGAGAGTGGCTATATATTCAATAGTTGCAACATAAAAGCCATAGGAAGACAATTCGTGTGGAAGAAGAAACATGGAAAGGGAAAGGAAGCAATGATAATCATCTTTTGGTCAAACAGAGAAAACAGATTGTATTAGCTGAAGCAAAGATCTGGACTAGGGATTTGTGACCTAGTGCGGGAAATCTTGGAAGCAAAGCAGAAAGTTTGATTCTTTAGGATGTTTCCCCAAATTTGAGCAAATTATAATAAAAAGATGTTAGAAGAATTATTTTTTTCTAGTAGTAATTTTTAGTTTTAGTATAGACTTGAAAGAAAAAGAATTGAGTTTCCTACTTATATTATAACCATAGGAAATAAAACCATGTTAGGAAATTAAAATAACCTTCAGATGTTGAATTTAGGAAACTGAGAAGATATGGATGCAGGTGAATGTGTGGAAATTGGAAAAGAATAGTTGCTTCCTTTGATAAATCCAAATATTGCAAAAAAATTTCAGGTGACAGTAAGCCATCCAATTGGATATATTCAACAAACAAATCTGAGAATCTGTGTACATGAGACATGCTGCAGGATCTGGGGATAGACGCCTGGTTCCTGTCATCCTATGTGATTTGTTATCATCCACATGCCATCAGATCTGTATTATCAGTGCTGACCTCTCCCACATCTCTAGAATTAAGGGCCAATCTCCACTTGTAATTTTAATGGCTCTCACATACTTAATATTGTGATACCTTAGTTGTCAAACTCAATTCATTCCAAATTTGTGTTCAAACACTGAAAAATTCAAGAACTGAACATATTTTTCCCATAAGAAATAATAGAAAACCAAATAATTGGTTGTGAGGTCCCCAAATTACACTTATAAATTCATTTTCCGGGAAATCTGTTAAATTTTGCAGTGATTTCCTTCTTTAACTCTATTGTGGTTCTCACAGCTTTCCTCCTAGCTTTACTGCTGATATCATTAACTTGTTTGGAACCATAGTTACCATATTTTATGCGAATAAAGTATGAAGAAAAAGCACAATGACTAACGTTTTGAGGCACTAACAGAGTACTGTATCTTGTGTGGGCGGGAACAGAGCTTGACTGAGGTGTTGCCCCTTTGTGTCCACCAGGAGACATGAAGCATGACTCACTCTTGGCCTATACTGGTTTTGGCAAGTCCGATTTTTAGTTGGGCTATGGAGCAAAGTTACAAACACTGAGCAGAATTTTTCCAGCTTCGCTCTTCACATAGTGGAAAGTTCACGCTTGGAGCCGTTGGACAACCAAGGTATCACTGGACGTCCAATCCATACATATTCATCCAGTACCTCTTCCCCTACCTGCTTCCTCCCTAGTTTTATTTAAGTCAGTGGCTCACCCATCTTCTTAAGTGAGCACTACAAAAACAAAAGGTGAGTTTTCTATGCTTGCTTTCCCTAAACCAGCGGGAATAAATAGTTCCCACTGATTCTGACTCCAAAACCTCTTACAGATCTCCACCATCCTGCTGCTAATCTGAAGTATTGTCAGCTAACTCAACCTTTAGCTTCCTTATTGTTTATTTTTCACTTATCCCAGTAACAGAAATGATCTTTTCAAAATATAAATCAATTCATACTCCTACATAGAATTTTCCCTTTTATTTAAAATAAAATTTGAGCTCCTTACCCAGCCTAAGACCATGGCTCCCCAACTGATCTTCTGTTCAGGCAAGATCTCTCCTTGCCTAAGCTTCCCTTATGGCACCGCCTTTCTGTTCCCCAGATGTTGGCCCCAGGGTCTTTGTGGTCACTGTTCTTGATAAAATATTTCCATCCCTTCTGTGAGTCCCTGACTGATTTCCTGTTATGGATTTATGACCACTCTATTCAAAGTGCCCATCTGATCATGCTTTATCATGTTCCCCTGATCTAATGCCTTCACTACACCTCATGACTACCAGATATTTTATGTGCTTTGCTAATTATCTTTGCTAGTCATTTTCTCCTATGCCCTGTAAAATAAAAAGAAATTGTCTCAGTTCTGGGACTTTGTATAGACTGTGAGGTCTGTATGCCCAGGGGCTAAGACTGGGCATAATGTACATACTCAAAAATATTTGTTATGCATAAATAAATGATAAAACAAATTGTTACTTTCGCATCAAAGAAGATTAAAAGCCAGAAATGTTTATGTCAGGGGAAAGTTTCAAAGGTTTAAAAATATAAATCTAGGTTATTATGCATACTTACTTTTGTTTCTTTCTAAATATACTACTAAACAGACCAGAAAGGGAAAAGCAAAGCAGAAGGTAAAAAATTCAACACATTTTTAGGAGAGAGAAATTGAATGAAAAGTTGTGCTTGACTCAGAGAAGGTTGTACAAGTGGAGTGTGGATGAGAATAAAGCATTTGGCCCAATACACAATTTATGGATTCCATATTGGAGGCATGGGTACTATAGATGGTGGGTTATCCTGCTTTGGTTTGACAATGTCCTCCAGAATTTATGTGTGGGAAACTTAATCCCCAAAATCCAGTGTGAATGGTTTTCGGAGGCAGGGCCTTTGGAAGATAATTAGGATTCGATGAGGTCCTGAGGGTGAGACCCTGGTGATGCAATTACTGGTTTCTGAAAGGAAGAGACCTGAACTATCAAGATTTACCTCATGTGATGCCTGCCTTACATAGTCCTGGCATTCGGCAGAAAATTTCCACCATCAGGAAGTCTCTCACCAGAGAGCTCCCTGACCTTAGACTGCACAGCATCAGGAATACAAAAAATAAACATTTGTTCCTTATTAATTACCCAGTTTGTGGAATTCAGTCACAGAAACATAAAATAGACTAGAACACTTATATTAAAGCTATAAAAACAGAGAAACAGGGCCGGGGATTTAGCTCAGTGGTGCTGCCACCTGCCTTGCAAGCACAAGGTCCTGAGTCTGATCCCTGGTATAAATAAATAAATAAACAAACAAACAAACAAACCAGAGAAATGGAGATGATGTGACAGTCCCCATGTAGACTGGTGGGATCTCCAGGTTCCCTGTTGTCACTCTCCCAGCCTGCACTCCTTCCTGACCCACTCAGGAAAGGGAAGGTTGGTTTCAGCAAAAACCACCAGAAGTTCTTAACACAGGAACTTTAAACTGCACAATGCTGGGATAAAGCCACAGCTAAAAATAGTGCCCTTCCCCGCTCTGCTCCTAGAACACCTGTATTCAAGATTATGTCACCTTCAAAATCTGTCCCCTTCTACTAACCTCTCTGAGAAAAAGAGAACACTCAGGAAACACTGAACAGCCTCAGACAA